GCAGAAATATTGTGGGACTTTTAAGTGCATCAAAAGCCACTATTCTTTTAAATCGTGCGATGATATTGGGCCGTTATTCACTAAAATGTTCCCGGATAGTTTCCATTGCAAAACTAGTTTTCATGGTGGTGAAAAGAAATGTGCTTATATCTGTTATTTTGGTCTTGGCCCTTATTTTTAAAACTTTGTTCACTAAAGCATTGTAAAAATGCTGAGTTTTTTACATTACTATTTGATGAGACTCTTAATCTGACAAATCCAAAAGAAGCAACTAAGATATTTATGTGAGGGTTATCAGGAAAATAAGGTCAGAACTCAGTACCTTACTTCTGCATTTATAGGGCATGCAACAAGTGAAATTATTTTATCCAAATTTTATGAATGTGTTAGACTTGTCAAAACTCTTACAAATATCGATGGATGGTCCTGCAGTAAACTGGAATTTTATGATTATTGCAACAGGACTTGACCAAAGGAATATAACATTCAGTGCTTGACATTAGGGACATGTGGTTTACACATTCTTAACAATGCTTCAAGCATGGGATGTCATCCACTGGCTGGGACATCCATCATTCTTATCCTCCTTATATTGGATTTTTAAAGATTTTCCTGGAAGACGTGAAGATTTTTTAAGTATATCGGCTTAAAAAGCTTCCTGTGAATTTCTGCTTTTACCAATGGTTCCAAAATGTCCCAGCAGTTGAAAGAGCCATTGAATATGGGATGACTTGCTAACTGTTTGTTTTAAAAAAGTTGAATGAAACGGGGAAGTTTAAAAAATTCATCGAAATCCTTCTCAAATATTTTGGAGGCTACTGAAATAAAACTTTTTCTAAAATTAAATTTTTTTCTCTCTCTGTCGAAAATATTATTGCCTTTTTCTTGAATATTATCAAAGTGATAAACCACTTATTCCCTTTTTTGCTGAAGATATCTTAAAACTTGTAAATGATTGCCTTCAGCACTTTAAAATTTTGAAACTAGAATATTCAAAAATAAACTAAAGCAGAAAATCTTTATAAATTTAAAATTTTAATGATCCAAATTGTTATAATGATAAAAGTTAAGTTTATTGGGATTCATTGCTGAGCAGTTAATGAATGATAAATGCCACAAGAAGGACATTCACAAGTTGAAAGTTTTGCATTGAAACAAGAAGGTCAACAATGTGTCTTAACAATAGTACAACACTTAATGTCTAAATGTTCAATAAATTATTCTCTTATTCGAAATGCATCTTGTATAGACCCACGATTGATGGCTAAAAGTCCAGAAAAAGCCTAGAAGAAAATGAAAATAGTTTTAACGGTATTAATGCAGAATAAAAGTGTTTTACAAGATGATTGTGATGAAATTCTGCTGCAGTTTGGAGAATTTCTAGACAAAGTAGTTAAGACAAATTTACATGAATTTTCTACTTTTGATCTTCAAAATCTTTCTCTTGACACATTTCTCACTTCTTATTTTCATTTTTCACTATTCAAAAGTATGAAAATAGTGAAAATGATTCTTTCTTGTCACATGGACAGGCCTCTGTGGAAAAGGGCTTCTCTGTAAATAAAGCAATTGAAATTGAAAATTTAAGTGACTCATCATACATTTTTCAATGCACAGTATTTGATTACATAAATTTCTGGAGGTATTCGTATTCTTAATATCGAAAAATTAATAAAGAAATGAGATCAGCAGCCAGCTTCTGCAAGGTCTAAATATATGCAGTATTTAGAAGAACAGAAATCTTAACTAAATCTGAAAATTCAAAGAGAAAAGAAATATTATCGAGGAAGAAAAAGAAATTGATTATATGAAGCAGAAGAAAAAAATTTCTTCAAAGGTACATTAAAGATATTAATGAAGAAGTAGATGCTTTAGCAGATGAAGCTGAGACCAGCAGGAACATTGATTTGTTTATCAAAGCAAATGAACTTAGAAGATTAGTTAAAGAAAAGGAAATAGACATAAATAAATTAGATGTTAAAATATCTGAAAAAATTTCAGATTTAAAAATAGCATAAATGTTTTGTATCTTTTATTGTATAGTTTATTATTCTAGTATCTGTAAAAAAAAACCAAGGAAATAAATTGTATGTTTACAAATCTGTTATTTTAATCTGCAAATATTCTTACATTGTGATATAATAGTAGTTTGACTGTGTTAAATAAATATCAAATAAGTTAAATAATAATCACGTAAATCTCTAAAATATCTGTGACTGTTATTAGTGTAAAATACACTTATACATGTTTTTCAGGAAATTATGTTGCTAATTTAATGTTATCTACTTCATAACTTGTAGGGAGTTAGTTTAATTTTCAAAATTGTTTTATGTTAAGTATTAAATTGAATTTAATAATAGTGCATAATACACACTTCTGTTAGTTTCTTAAAGTGAAATTACAAGCTTGAAGTCAGTTGTATGGATAATTACTTTATTCTGTTCATTTTTTTGTTTGCTGATAGGTCCTTAAAAGTCCTTAATTTTCATGTAAGGAAATGTATATGGACCCTGTCTAAAGACCAAGCTGGTTGCATGAGATTATCCCCATGTGTAACATGAATATGAGTCAGTTCTCTTAAAAATTCGTCTACAGTGATATTCTTCATAAGGCAAGTACACCTTGCAGCCTTTGACATAAACAGCTAACCAATCTATCTGCCTTATGCATACCAGTTAGCTTTTTAGAAAGTCTTTCAGAAAGACATCCTTTTCCTTTGGCTGAAAGCCCCTAAATGCATATAACCAGTTTAAAAATGCTAAGGTAATTTATTCTGGCTAAGTCTGAAGTCATGAACTGAAAGAAGAATCGGACTAATTTTACTTCATGAGGCAAATTTTAAAAAAAGAAGAAAAAGGAAAAGGTGTAGGATAAAGCTGATGCCATGAGCAAAGCCAAGTATAAAAATATTCTACTCAGAAAACGTTATTATTGCATCATCTTCCAATAGCAAACTACCAGTTACTATATCATACAGGGGCGGCAGGAAAACCTTCTTATTTGAAACGTGTGCCATCTAGCGACATTAATTCCGAGAAGGGTGGGGATGGCACTCATTGAAAAGAGAGGTATCTAATGTTTTATGTAATGTAGGTTTTTATTGTCATGGAGTGGATGACAGAGGAGTGTGCGTTCGTCCTGGAGTCGTACTTTTGAACGTACTGCATTTTCATCTATATAAATTGGCAGTGGTGCAAAAACTTAAACCACGCGATTTTCTTTCACGAAAAAATGCTTGCAAAGCCGTTCTTGACAAGATACCTGATGATGCCCTTGTGTCCTTTAGCTATGAGGCTCATTTTCAGCTTTCCGGTTGCAGCATGCATTAAGCAAAACGTGCGATAATGGAGTGGCATGAATCCCCGAGAATTTCATGAGCAGCCCCTCCATACAGAACGTGTGACTGTTTGGTGTGCATTGTCCAGAATAGGCATCATTGGACCATGGCTTTTTCGGTGTATTTAATTATGGCAAAGCACTGTAGGGCTATCTGCCTAAGAGGAGGGATGCCTTCATGGAGGACTTTCTAAGGGAAACTGGCTCATATACACGTTACACATGGGGAAAATCACGAAAACGCCCATGCAGCCAGCCCGTTCAGCGACTTTACCGCTCCGCCGCTGGTGGGGCTTGGTTTTTTTGGAGAACATTTCCCTGGATGCCTTATCTCCTTACGGAGTGATCATCAGTGGCCGGTGCACTCGTCTGATTTAGCCCCATGTGACTTCTTTTTGTGGAGCTCTCTGAAATGTCTAACGTCCAAAGACCCTGGCTCAATTGAAGAACAATATTCAAGCTGCTATCGACAACATACACATTTTGATATGCTTGTAAAAGTGGAAAGAAACTTCAAAACTCGACTATCTCAATGCATTGACCAGAGCGGAGGACACCTTAATGATATTTTTAAATTGTAATAATAATAAAAACAAAACTTTAAGTGTCTCTCTATAACTTGGAAAAAAATTAAACTGATATCGCTTATACTATTTGTGTTATTCATTTTTAAAATAAGGTAGTTTCCCTTCCGCACTCTGTATATGTGGACATTTACTCCAACAAATGAAATAATTAGTTATTGTAGACAAAATCACTATGAACAGTAAAGCAAGGAGTGAGGGGAAAAAAAGGTGAAATTGATTGCTATTTTAAGTTCCACTGAGGCAGTGAGTAAGTATTCTACAAAAGCTGCAGAACTGAGTATGTTAACATACAATAATTTTAAGATGATAGAATTTTGTATTTTATTTGATATGCATATTATATCTGCCAATTAGTAATCTTGTAGGTAAACAAATATATACAAGTAATTGGTATTGTCCTTGTTTTGCTTTTTAACTTGAATATCTGCTTAAATCTTTCAGCATATTAATTGTGGTGGGAACCAAATAAATGTAATTTGTTGAGCCCCTATAAATTTTTATAGTAATTTTATAATACCTTTAACTGAGAGTAAATTTAATCCTGTGTTAATTTAAATATAGCTTCAATTTTATCTAATTTAATCTTAATTTAAATATAGCAACTGATATTCATTACAGGAACTAGATTTATGTGGCTATGTATGTCACAATAATGTTCCAGAAGGTCATTAATTTTCAAAACATGTACTGTCTGTCTGAAAACAAAGAAAAATTCCAAAAATTTAAATGTGATAGTCCTTGTACTTCATAAATCTAATATTGTTCGTAAAAAATTGTTTTTATTTCAGTTTTATACTCAATTCAGTATTTCATTATTTATGTGCTTTTCTTTATTTTGTATACACAACCACCAGCAGCTGAGTGATAAGATCATAGAATATGGCTTGGGTTCAAATCCCAGTAAACTGGCCTCTTTGGAATTCTCATGGTTTTTCTTTATGCATGATGTGATACAGACTAATTCCTTATTAGTTAAATTATCAGTAAAACATCCTTTCCCATAGGCAGAGAATTCTTGAGTTGTTTTGACTGTATAATTAAATAGCCTAACCTAATTTCTTTTGTATGTTTTTCCAGGATATAAAACTCTGCAAGTTGCTGATGGAAAAGCTTATGCATATATTCATGTCACTCTCATAAAGAAATGGGACATTTGTGCTGGTAATGCATTGCTAAATGCCATAGGTGGGAAGATGACAGCTTTGGATGGCTCAGAAATTGATTATGGTGATCCTGAAGTTGTTAAAAATGAAAAGGGTTTAATTGCTACTTTAAATGAACATGAAAAGTTTGTAAATAAACTCTCAAGTTTGTCCAGTTGATCTGGTCACTGTAAATTATGGATGTGGAATCAGTGAGCGTGTTCATCTTCAAAATGACAAATGTAACTTTATTTCTTTGAAATACATGCATTTATTTATTCAAGATCACAATGTTATCAATAAAATTTACTGATTAATTTTTAGGAAGATATCACATGTATGTATATGTGTGCGAGGGTATATTTATTGTATTATCATTGAAAATTTTTCTCATGATGTGTGTATATGATGATAATTGCTATAGTAACATAGTTTGCATACTTCAAATATTAAGAAATATTTTTTTTAACTAAAGGTGATGGGAAAAGAGTGTGTGTACCATTTCTCTTCTCAGTTTTAAACTCAGCTCAATTTTAAAAACAGCAGACTTCTCAACTGGTAGTCTTACTTTAAAAAAATTTTTCCTCTGTTATTTTTGAAGTTTTTTGAATTTTGTTAATTTATTTTATATCTTTGTTATTGTTAAATTAAACATAGATAATTATTAAAAACACTTTTTCAAATAAAGAAAGCACAAACATAAAATTCTCAAGCATATAAATGTTATCATTTATCAGTTGTGTCAGTCATGATGCAGTTAAGCTTCCTTGAAGCTGCAGCAGTCCTTGATAGGTCCCTCTTGAGCAGACTTTGAAAGTAGCTTCTCAAGTGACTGGGATTCTAAAATCAGATTGAAAAATCAAGATTATTACCACATAAATAATAGTTTTCCTCTAGTTGATGTACCTACTTTTTAGGAAAAAGGAAATAAGTTTAATGATGAAAATTTTAGTTATTATTAAAAGGCAAACAAGGAAGTATCAAAATTATGAAATTTCAGTCTAGTCTGTATCACATTCAGAAAAAATTGAATAAAATGTCATGCTGATGAAGTTGTTTTGAATATATGACTTTAAAAATTAGATGTGCTTGAAGTATGGATAATATTTTATTTAAAGCAAAGACTATAAAAACATATCACCACTTCCTTTTCAGATGTGCCAGTGTGACAAATTTGAATGCATTTTGTCAAGCCATACCTATAAAATAAAAGGGAGGAGGATTTTCTTTTAAACTTATTTTATAGCAACAAACATGTAAACTGTATTGTGAGAGGAACTGGTTATTTGAGTAAGGCAAAACATATGAAAGTTATATGCTTTAGAGGAGAGCTGCATTTCTGTATTAGTTTTATTCATTAGCCCTTTGTTGCATCATGTCCACTGTAGTAGACAAAACGTTTAAACTTTTTTACTCTTCTGTAAATGCCTTAACAGATTCCATTTCTGTGTTTATTCATTCTACAGTGGTGGCCAAAATTGTGGACACTTTTGGAAATTTTTATATTTTTGAACTTTATGCTTATAGAAAATGTTACGTTTTCGCAAAATGCAAACTTGTATATATCATTTTAAAGAGAATTTATTACTGAATTCAATACAAAACACAAAATTCAATTATTTGCAATACAAAAAAAAGTTATATGTACTTTAATATAAATAAAAAACACAGTTATGAAGTGGTTTGTAATGTCTAGCTTTCCTGGCCAATCACTGTTCTTGTTCTGAGAACCAATCAAATGTTAGTAACTGCCAGTAGAAGCTGACATCATGTTTACACTTGAAACAATTCATTATTTTGCTTTGTTCTGTAGAAGGAGGACCTGTTTCTTATACACTGCAATTACAAGTAGGAATTTTTGTAAAATTTTTAATATTTAGTCAAGAAGCAATGACATCAAATAAAAGAGTAGATTGGACACCTAGAAAGAGATGTAATATTATTGTGTTACGAGAAAGTGGTCTTTCCTATGCTGAAAATTGCAAGACAGGTGGTTATCTCCAGGTGGTTCAGTTATCTCCAGTGACTACATCTGGAGTCCGAAAGTTTTGTTTACGATATCAGGAGACAAATTCAATAAAAAACAAAGAAGGAAAAGGCCGAAAAAGGTGCACCACATCTATTGATGACAGAAGAATAAAAAGACTATGTCTCCAAGATAGAAAAATGTCATCAGCGGCCATCAGAAGTGATCTGAATGATGCTGGTGTTTCTGTCAGTTCAAGAACAATCAGAAGATTAACAGATGTTGGACTGAGAGGTAGAATTCCACGAAAAAAGCCTTATCTTAATTTTCAGCAACGAAAAAAAAAAAAAAAAAAGACTACAGTGGGCAAAGGAACACATTAATTGGACAGATGATCAGTGGTCACAAGTTATATGGAGTGATGAAACTAAGATATCGTTATTCGGTAGTGATGGGCGAAAATATGTAGACGTAGAATAGGAGAAGAGCTACATCCTGACTGCATTCAAGCAACTGTGAAGAACCCAGTTAGTGTTATGATTTGGTCATGCATGTCAGCAGATGGTATTGGTCGCCTTCATGTCATCGATGGGACACTGAATGCCAGAAAATACATTGACACTATTCTAGAACCAAAACTTCTACCTTCCATCAGAGATCTCTTTCCCAACAATCTTCGTTTATTTTTTCAGCAGGATTCTGCTCCTTGCCACACGGCCAAAATATCGAAAGAGTGGTTTCGTACAAAGAGCATTAAATTGTTGTCATGGCCAGGAAACAGTCCTGACCTCAATCCTATCGAAAATTTGTGGCACCGTTTGAAAACTCTTGTCCGAATGAGGTGCCCATCAAATAAAAGGGAACTAATTGAGGCTATAATTGTTTCCTGGCATCATGTAATAACGAAAGAAGAGCTTAAAACTCTTGTCAGCTCAATGAAACGTCGATGTGAAGCTGTAATCAAAAATAAAGGGTACCCTACTAAGTACTGATAACTCACTGCAATTCATCACTATCTAATGTATATCGATAACTATTATCGTTTAACTTTTTTGTATTGCAAATAATTGAATTTTGTGTTTTGTATTGAATTCAGTAATAAATTCTCTTTAAAATGATATATGCAAGTTTGCATTTTGTGAAACGTAACATTTTCTATAAGCATACAAAGTTCAAAAACGTAAAAATTTCCAAAAGTGTCCACAATTTTGGCCACCACTGTATATCATTAGAACTTTCAACTATTGATCATAGATGGCAGCACAAGAACACTTAAGTAAAGCACTGCTATTTGGAGAATGGCTGCTACTTGCGTTTCCAGGTTAGTATGATTTCTCATAGTAAACATTATATAATATTGCTTACAGTTTCTTATATTGTCATTTTTTTTATTCATAATTAGTAATTTTAGACACATTATTTTAAACAGGAGTTTGAAAAAATTGTTGTGAAGCTAATTTTATTGAGATGAGGCATTTTGCTTTTGTCCACTACAGTAGACATCATGAATACAACTAAGGTAAGGTAGTTTTACTCTGTCTACTGTAATGGACATCATGAACTAAATCTAATGCTTTTTTATGACATTATGGCAGGAGGAATTTTACAAAAATTCTAGTTTTCAAACAGGGGGAGGGTCTCTTGGCTGCAACAATTTATTTTAAATAATTGATTTAAACATGCTATTAATTAATTACAGCTAATTTTAGTTCATGTTTTAAAACGGAAAAAGTTTTCAACTGAAGATGAAATTGAGAAGATCATTAATGAGGATTTTCTAATTAGCAGTGATGATACATACCAGCATACCTCCATGGTGACTCTGATGATAAACCAGAAAATGAAGAAACAGAAATTTCACTTATAAGATCAACTGTGCAAAATAACAAATCTTGTTTGCAGGAGAAAAAGAAAATTCCTTGGGAATGGGTTGATAAAAGATTTTCCTCAACACTCTACCAAAAAGAGTGAGTTGAAACCTAAAGGCACTACTTGTCAAGCCAAAACATTACTGGAAATATTTAAAACTGTGTTTGGCAAGGAATTTCTGAAACATTTAACATTTGAATCCAGTAGATACAGGTTACAAAATCGTAGCAAAATGAATTCAATCACAAGTGACGAAATGGAGATATTTTTGGGGATCCTTATGTATATGTCAGTTTTAGCTTTACCTTTTAGAAGATGGTACTGGTCACCACAAACAAGGCAGGAAATGATTTCAAATGCGATGACCATAAATCGTTGGGAAGAGATTTTATCAGTCATTCACCTGAATGACATAAACCTACAGAAGCTAGCTTTGATTGTTTGATTTTTTTTTTTTTTTTTTTTTTTGCCTAGCCCATTTGAAAAAGAATCGGTACTACAGCATATGTATCCTTTGATCAAATCGAACAGAAAAATGTCCTTTAAAATCAAAAAAAGAAATGAAAATTTTATGAAGACTTTTTGATTATAAAGTAAGCAAAGAAAATAATGTCATTGTATGTCAATGGTTCGACAATAAACTTGTCGCAGTAGCCTTGAATATACACAGTATTTGTCCAACAACAAAAGTGAAACATTATGACCAAAAAAACAAGTGGTACATTGAGGTAGTATGTCCATCTTTGATTGGTTATTATAATCGTGACATGAGAGGAGTTGATAAATGTGATATGCTGTTGTCGCTCTACTGAACACATTTGATAAAAAATGGTATAAATGTGTTTTACTTCATTTTCTCGATTTCGCATAATAAATTCTTAGCTACTTTACTAAGCAGTTATACTATAATGTTCCATGCAACTTGATGTTTCCAAGATGTCCATTGCCATAGGACTCGAGCAGTGTCACAGACAACTAATTCTGGTTTAGAAGATTTACACAAACAAGAGTCAAGTGTATCAGTCAACAAACCAAAGAAAAGTTTGCCCATTAAGGCAAGCTCCGTTCTCATGCATATCTGATATGACAGAGTGGAGCATTTCCCTACACGAACTGCAAAGATGCAAAATGGAGTTATGTTAAAGAAAATCCACATATTCTTTGCATAAAATGTAAAGTGTATTTGTGCATTGAAGGAAAATCTGATTGCTTTTATCATTTTCACCATCAAGATGGTTAAAAACTAATCATAAAGATGTATTTACTGTAATGGACTGTAGCAGTTATTTAAAACGAAATTTGAATAAAATTAATTTTTTTATTACTACTAAGGCTGTTAAGTGGAAAAAAATACAAACATTTTTGTTTAACTTCTCCAGCTTATTTGTGCTTTTTTACCACAAATCATTTTGAACTAACGACATTAGTTTTTGATTTTGGTTTCTATTGAAGCTACAAACGAATGGTTTACGTCAGTGACAGGTCTGCTGAAGACTAAAGCCTGGGTAGAAGCTCATCACTCTAAAACTTTATTAGAACCTTGATTTCCATAGACACCATGTTAAGCGCCCATAGGCAATATATGGGATGGAATACATATATATGCAACTTCGGTCCTAATAAGAAAACCCATGCATCCTTATAACAACCTCATGTTGAATTACCAGTGTCCTGCCATTGGTTAGCAAAGAATTCTTGTGATACATAGATAGTAAACTGTTTTTTTTTTTTTTTTTTTTTTTTTTTCCACTCTGATTATGGTTAAACGTAAGCCAAATAAACTTCACATTTAAGTTGCAGAACACTATTTAAATATTTGAATGAGTACTTGTACTTACAAAAGTCTAAATATGTTCTTTGTTAAAGAAATAAAATCTTGAATTTCATTCATTACTGTTCTTACAATATTTTAAAATAAAATTATATATACTGTATTATCACGCATACTATGAGCCACCAAATAAGACGAGCACCCGATTTTTTTCAGTGTCCATAAAAAGAAAAAAAAAATGTCCGCGAATATGGTGCGCATAATTTCATCAAGCACACTAAAAGCTTAATTTACAGAAAAACTCTTTTTTCTGGATTAAGAGCATAAAGAAACGAAGGAATATGATACCGATTGACGTTTATTGAGAAATCTGAGCTACCACCTATAGCTTTTGCAGCTCCTGCCCAAGTATGTAGCATCACATCCACAGTAATATTTTAATGAGAAGGAATAAATCAGTTAAGAGTTTAATTCTATGGCAGAAAGAAAAGACTGCTAATCTGAGTATGTTATATAAAATTTGATTCGTTAAACAATAGCTTCAGTTAGCAACAATCACTGCACTAAATATGGATTTAAAAGTCACAAATGATCCTTTAAAATCTACCGCTAATCTAATAAAGACAGCTAACTTACCACACCATGGCACTTCTTTCTACTTTTTTTAGTCTGGAAACACAATGTGAATTGTCAATGTTCCCTCGCCTTCTGTGTTGCTGTCATCATTGATGCTTTTCAAACTGCCTGTATTCTCTTCTTCCTCATCATCCCACACTGCCCAATCTTCACTTCCGTCTATGCTATTTCATATTCCGCACTTTTTAGAGCTCTTGATAAAAAGTTGTGAAATTCCATCCCAGCACAGATTCTAATTATTTTGGGCTTCTTGATGGAACCAGCCGGTGTAAGTGCACAATTTCCAGTGGCCATCTATTCTGTGTACATTCTTTTCAATACTGCTTTAAATGGGTGATTAATGCATACGTCTGCTACTTTGTACCACAGTGGTGGTATATCCTCTACAAATCCCTGGCCAGAATTTATTATTTGAGGGGGTACAGTAGCATTGTATAACATTAAATTTCCTGGAGATACCATAGCTTCAAAAAGAAATAATTTATGCCGACCAACTTGTGTTTACTTGGCCTGTATTGCTTTGTTTCACATAAGCCATGCACTTTAATTTTTCAGATTAAAATTATTAAAAAAAAAAAAAAAACTGTGTGGTATTCGTAAACATACGGTATGTATTTTGCATTTAATGATATATAAAGCTATCTATATTCATTCATATTTTGTGTGAAAAATATAACTGTTTCAGTGAGCAAAAAGCACCCTTTTTAAATAAAAAAATTAAGTGTGAATCTCAGAAAATCATTTGGAACTTATTAATATAATTTAAAAAAATAAGTAGGTTATAGATTATTACAAATAAATTGGAATTTCCCACAAGAAAGTAAATTAAAATAGAATTCAGAGCTATGAATCAAAGGTGTAATAATTGGAACAAGACCAGTAGATAATCTGAAAGCAAACAAGAAGATCCACTTAACGAGTGTATTCTGTAGCTGACAGTCACAACAAATATCACTGAAGAAATGACTTCCATCGTGGAGCAGTTGGACATTCTTATAAAAGAAATACTCATTTTTAAAATTGGGCAAAAAAGCAACTTTAATCTGGCATAAATTTTAATAAAACTATATTTCAAGAGCAATCAGACTTGAGTTCCTCTTCTTCAAAAGCTAAATCTGAAACAGACCTCAATGAAGATTAAAACGTTCCTGACAAAACATCATCAACCAAGATATTGTAGGAGAAAATACTGTCATTGAAAATAAAGTGGTTATAAACATTCCAGTTTAAAAACATCATCATTGAAAACATTGCAGTAAAAGATAAAGCATCTACAAATCATCGCAGACATGTGTTTTTTCAATCTTTAAAAGTTGTAATTGCATATTCCCATAATGATTTGTAAGGGCAAGAATGAATGAGGAATATTTTTTTAATTCGAACCTTTCCAATGGCTGATGTAAAAGTGTAGTAGTTTCCATTAATGTTCCCTTGCTGAAGTGGTGAGCAACAGTGACTAAGCATGGTAAAATCGCTGACCATTCATAGTTTGATTTGGCAAATGAGCTGGCTGCATGAAATTTTTGTGCTTTTCTTAATGTGTAACGTGGATATAGCTTAGTTCCCAAGAAATTTCTCCACAAAGGCACTCCTCATCTTAAGATAGTTTTTGTATGCTTTATCACTTTTTTCTCCTACTGTATTTACTCCCATTGTAATGGAATTGTACCTATTAGTGCTTAACACTTTCACTACTGGATAAACGCAAATGCGTGATGTGGTGCTGTCACCTAAGAGGCAGTCGCAAGCATTTGGTATTATTTTGTCACTTTAGTCAGCTTAATTTTGAATTTTCACATGCATATATTGATAGAAAATGTTTAAACACATCTTTTTTCATATAAATTACATTCTTACTGATGTTAAATTTTGAACTTTTTAATAAGTTGTATAAAATCAGTTAATTTTTTTCAGTATTTTTCTACTTCAAGGAAAAATAAGAAACAAATTATGAAGTACATTTATTATACAGCCATTTACATTACATACAATACATACAGTGAAAATTGTCTTTTGATGTACGAATGGTCTTAATATTTTAAAATTCTATTTCAAACATATTCAAGAATGAAATATTTTGAAAATAACTGATGGTTTTAAAAAACAAATATTTTTGGTTTGCTATAAAGATTCTAAGAATGAAATACATAATATCCACAAAAATGTAAAGGGTATAAATTTACATAAAAGATATTAGTACAATAAATTTTAACATGATGCTAATGATTTACATACTTTTAGGTCATGGGTAAGGCACACATGTATATACAGTTTGACTGACAATGATAAATGACTATAATCATAAATGATAATGGTGAATGCCATTTAACATTCTACAAACAAATCTACAACAAAAACAAGTGACACAGTTTACTATGTCAATTTTTATTTACATGAAATTTAAAATAATTATGATTTATGTACATAATGGTCTATAGCCAGCACCCAGTTTTTATTTACAATACACCAAGATGGTGCAAGCAATAAATATGATAACAGCTTCATACTACTAAAAGTCAAATTTTTAACCTAACTCATTTTAGCAAGAAACCTTAATATTTTAATTGTTCGATGCAGTGAATCCTAGCCTTTTATTTATTTTGTTCAAAATCTATTTGAAGAGATTTCGCAAAAAACAATGGAAATGTGAAGTCAAGAAGTCTGTGCAATTTTTTTTTTAATTTACTGTGTGAACACTGATATAAATTTTTTGCACATTTAAGTATCTTGTATTTGCATCTGAAGTACACGTTACTCTATGTAACTTCACAAAATTAAAATTGCATCTTCTGTATTCATACATGTTGAGATAAAGTCATAAAAGTATACACAAAATCAATATATACAAATCAGACTAATAATGCCATTTCCAAGACATAATAAATTCATTTTTGGCAGGAAGTTTTCTTGAAACTAGGAAAACACACAGATTGAAATCCAGTGGCAGATAATAATGTTAAAATAGTAACTTTCAGGTCACCTGCTATACAAATGAACTTAAGATACATGACTACAGTTTTCAGCTGTCAATAAATATTCAAAATGGAAGTGTGTTAAATTTTTTTTCCATAATTCAGTTCAAGTACCTGGAAAAAAAATCTATATATTATGAATGGAACTAATTTACAAAAATTCAGTCTTTAACCTAAAAAAAAAAAAAAAAAAAGTGTGTGCATTGCACTGGGTTATATTCTCCAATCTATAGAATACATTAGTTTGTTATTGAACAGTAAGAAAATAATGAAAAATGATCTTAAATAACAAACACTAAATACAATCCTGTCTTGATCCAATACGACATTGTAATAATCCTACATCAACAGAATTCAGATTATCCTACAGTTCTTTAGAATTAAAAAGTTTACTGCATATATTGTCATTTTGTGCCTTAAACAAGTATAAAACATAGGAGATAAAAGTAATGGTTTTCATTTTAAAAATTCATTTCTGTATCAAATATCAAAATAAATCTTGCCTTATATATACATGATTTTGCTTTCAGTTGTTAGCTTTTAAAAAATTTATTAGAACTTTTTTACATAGAAGTCATAAAACACAAGCAGTAAAACTTGGGCTCTAATTACCAGCAGCTGGACTGGCCAGTTGCTTAGGGACTAATTTAATATATTTTTGTAAAGTAATATAAATCAGTTCCCTTTATAAAATGTCTCATAAAAGTATACCTCTCTAGACTGATAACATATTTCTTCATTTTCAAACTATTTCAAAAGTTAAATATTATGAAATAAATAAAACAATACCTGATTATATTTCATAACTTGCAATAGATATAAATTGATTTATTTTAAGATGCACATAATATATGTAGAACGGCAGTTTAATTGTGGTTATGCTATTAAAGACGATAATGCACAATTTTTAAATTAATATTTATGTATGAGTGGATAACACTGAAATGAAATGAAAAGTTACATTAGTTTTAAAAACCAAGCATTTTTCACAATGCAAATATGTAGTTATAGATGCATGTTCTCATGCTATTTGGCCACAGTAGTATGGAATACATTTTTGCTCTGACTAAATTTGGGATGTTTCTTACATAGAAACTGTAATACATAAATACATTGACATAATATTTACAGGGTTCGTACACATGGATATTAAATACTTTTAAGGGTTATTAATGAAAAAAAAATTAAGGACCTGAATAAATTCAATCAACATTATGTCTGAACTCCATTTTTATAATAATCCTCTAAGAATAAAATAGATCCATAAGTAGGATGTATTCTTATTAAACATAATTTAATAAACATAACTATAAAACAAATTTGAGAATAAAATCCACTTTATAAAATTTATCAGGTAGCATTAAATATTTTACACGTATAATAGTTGGACATATTTGAAAGAAGATTAGGGACATTTTATTTACGTTTTACTAACAGTTAGCTTTATGTTGATTTTTTTCTTTTATGTCTCATTATGCCATGCATTTAGTCTAGAGGTTTAGTAAATACAGGGTTCATAGCCACATTTTAGTTAAAAAAATACGCACCTATAAGCACATTTTAAGGAAAAAATAATGTACCTGTCTAATTACATTACACACAACTGCATAAACTTAAAAGAAAAATTAGACTTGTAATTTAAAATATGAGCAATGCAATATTTATTACGAGAATGAGCATTACCTTAACAATGGAAAACAATTAACTTTTTTTTTTTTTTTTTAAATTTTAAATGACAGTTCAATTTACAGAATTAGTTTACAATGAGAGGAAAAAAAAAAAAAAAAAAAAAAAAACTATGCAGAACTAAACTATATTAAAATTTTAATGATGATATTTCAGTTGAAAATATAGAAAAATAAATAATAATAAGCCATATTAACTGTATTGTTTGGCACCTAATAATAAATACAATTTATTTTTCCACTTCATATTAATATTTAAATAATTTAACTTAAATCAAAATTCTGAACATTTTCTAAATTTTCATTGCATAACAGTTTTCCCTTAACATATATCCCAAGCAAAGTAATTTATGTAAAAAAGAGGCACATTTCTGAAATCAGAAGACGGGAAATTGCTTCATTCAGTCATCCTTTAACAGTAAAAGCTTAACTAACCCGCATACTCGGAAATTCCCGAATATTCCGGATAGTAACTGGAAAAAGAGGAGTGGGGGAGATTGTAGCTGTTATTTAAATTTAAATTTAAGCTAAATAAATTATTTTGACATTTCGATATGTGCATCATATAAAAACCAACGGAACTGACAAATATTCTGCGTAGAAAGCACAGTAAAACTCTTTTAAGTGTTCATAAACAAATCTCAGACTGAACATCAAAATTAATTATCAATGCAAAATTCCGCAAACGTTATTGCGCAATACGTGCGCATAATTCTTCCATATGTGATATTACGCAATCGGAATCAACACCTGCCGGTATTCGGAGAATAAAGAACTAAATAAAGGAAAAGAAAGAGACTTACTAATCTGGGGTGTTTCTGATTCTAATTTTCAACAGACTATATTAAATTTCGGGAATAGAATCAATCTTCGCTTGGGTTGGGTAGACCGCAAAAACTTTTAGTCCTATTCAATCCAGATTGGTCAGTGGAAAAAAAAGGTCCGCTCCTTCAACATTAGAGATTTTGCGGAGAAACTCCCAACCTCCGTACTGTATAATGTATTGACAAAGAAAATGAAATTATTTTGACTATTCGATTACTTTCCTTTTATTTAAGCCATTCTGAATATTATTCCTTAGAAAGCTAATCTGTGTAAAAACACACCCATTTTCGGAAGTTTATCTATACTTCAGCAGTTACTGCAACTCTATTATTATAAATATTCATACATATGCTCATAATATAAGCATAACGATCATAATAAACACGAATATGAACTGACCACGTGGAAATAAGAATGCAAATTATTAAAATCTTGATAAGAAATTTCAAATGTGTGTAGTATTTGGGTGGGAGGAAAAGAATACTGAAATGTACCGGAATTTTCTACCGTTTTCGCAAGATTCTTTGACCAATAGAACGACGTGAACCAAATGTTCTGTACTCTATGCATGGCACCACAGGTTACGTTAATGCGAAAAGCTATTTCGGGAAAAAAAAAATTTATGCTTTACCAGTATGACGTTCCACGATAAGGAAAAAAAGTTGCATTTATAAGGAAGAAAAAGTTGTTCGGCATTTAGTTTTGGCTTTGGTACGGGGAAAAATGCGCATTCATTAAAAACAAAGGATTAAAACAAAAAATAAGCACTGAAAACAGAAAAATAAGGGCTTTAAAGAAAAAGTAAGCACCTATAAGGGCCTTTATATTTTATTTTCAAATATAAGGACTTATAAGCACTTGTAAGGACCGCTATGAACCCTGAAATAGCAGGTAGATTATATGCCAAATGGCATAGGTTAAAATGAGAAATAAAATCATAATCAGCATGATTCGTAACAGAAGATTGGCTGCTGCCAGTGCTGCTACTTGCCTAGAAAGAGATCTGCTGATCAGACAAACCTGAAAGCCTGATGTAGTTTTGCACGGTTGCCAAGTGTTTGAAAGTTACTCAGTGCTCCATCTGTCTTGATGCAGTTAGTGTTATAGCTTTCATGTAGAGTTCCAGCGGATTGTAACCCAGTTAATATATTTTAAGGTTCAATAAGAAATTAAATGCACCAGAGGTGATAACGTTGTTTTGTATTATTTTAAATCTCAGTAAATGCAAAGAATAAGTTTTACATTGAATTGTTACAATTTTGTATTTGTATCTTGTGACACAATAAGGATTAATGAAAGGCAATAACTTGCCTTAATATGCATCGATAACTTTTAAAGGTGAGCAGTTAGTTATCAATAATTCAATTAGGTAGTTAAATACCCTTAATCGTTATAGATTTACATGACCCCTATTTAAATTTTATTTATTTTTTAAAAATATTTTTTGAAAAAGCACTATTAAAATCACAATCTAATAACATTTCACAGTTTAAAATGCATGTAATTTTAAATTATCATTAATTCTTAAATGGTATTAGGGTAATTCCACATTTAAAGCTATAAAATATTTATGTTTTGTAGCAACAACATATGACCAAATATTTACGTGTCTTTATAATTTGAAGCCTTCCCAGACATTTTGGCTTAATTTATATCAATTTTCTTCTCTTTAAACATCTTTCCTACCAATTAAAAATCTGTTTCAATATACAAATCAATGTTCCCACTAGTTTCTGTGTGCTTTATCTCCTAATTTGCCAGTCTCTTAACAGTGTACATAACAAGGTTTTACTTAATCTTCTAAAAGTTAAATAGTCCAAAACCTCTTATAGACATTAAGCAAATTATCGTTAAGTCTGAAAGTAACTACAAAGAACTAACATACAGGCATGTTCCTATGTTGACAAAATCAACTACAGCTTGTGGGGATGCAATTAAACAGGAACAGTCAAAATCAAACTAAAAGTGTGAACTAGTAGTCAAAGACTGCACAATTTAGTTTTAATCTAAGCTCAGTAACTCTATCACTGTAACAAATTCAAATGTTAGCGGCGATAATGCAAAGATGAATAATTACAAATTATCAGAGCTGGCAGAAACTAATGCAACATCCAAGTGGAGGGCAAAAATACTCTGTGTTTCAGTCCCAAAATCTCAGTTTAAAAACTATCTGACTTGCATTATGGTGAGGAAATGGAAAGGGGAACTTACAGTAAAGGCTAAAATTATAAAATACTGGTTAATTTGCATAATAATAACTGTACATATCATTGAAGAATAATTTTCTTCCTCTTTATGTATTCAGCTTCTTTCTTCAATTCGTTTCCTCATTAGAATTTTTGGAATTAATTAAAGATTTCTGTTATTCTAAAAAAACAGATGCATTTAGAACATAAAGAAAAAGCTGATAAATATGGAATGATGTATAGTAAGGGTTGGTTTCAGGGCCGATGAGGCAGAATTTTTAGTGACACACCGAGCAACAAAATCTAGAAACGGCAAAACTTTTAGAATTTAGGACAGGCAAAGGGAGCAGAATTTAGGATCCATGGAGACTGCATCAGGTGGGAAAATGCCTTGCACCAGCCCTGTGTATGATCCATCGGGACATATAAGGTGAATCTTTTAAAATGTCAGGTTTAAATTTCTTTATTAATAAAAAAAATCCCTTTCTATAATAAAATTTATTTTTTACAAATCCCTGCCCATGCGAAAAGATTAGAAACATTTTTGATATTTTCCATACTTGTGTCTAGTGAAAAGTTGAGAAAATAAAGGGAAGATGTTAAGAAAAAAACTTCTAGTATCAGAAGTACAACATTCAAACATTATGTTTTCATTGTCCTTCCAAAAATTCCCCAAAATGTAAGAAATTCATCCCAAACTTTCCTGCAAAATACAGCCATTATGTGTTATACCATGACGACGTTTTTCATTTTGTCACATTTTTTTCTAGGATCTTCTATAATTGTGAGTCTGTAAATCTTGGCTTCAAATCATCTCTAAACTTTCCAAGTTGCAATGCCTAAAATCCTTAAAGAAAAATTAGCCCTATCAATTCCTGTAACAGAAAAAAGTCACAACTATTTTGAAAAAAAAAAAAATCAGTGAGAAAAGTATAAAATTAATTTTATAGAGAAAACTCGTACATATTCTGACAATTCTGAGACAATTACATGGGAAAAATTCTTACCATGAAAAAATTAAAAGGTGTAGGGTTTTTCTTATTTTGTATAACAAATTTATTTTAAAGTTTTTTTGTTCTCAACTTTTCAAACTTTCCCTCACATTCTCTCACCAGGATGTAAATTTAAAGTTAAGTGAAGTGCTATTTAAACATGTGATTATCTCAGTTTATTCAGAGCATGTTTCGCTAGCCTAGCGCACGTTTCGTTGTTATTTCGCAGTCATGCAAGTAAGCCTCTTGGCCATATCAGTTTAGTATCATGCCGGTTAGATTTCTGTGAGTCCATCTCTTAGGAGTAATTTTGAAGTGCACTTGTTTATTTTTTAGATTTTTGATTTGTATTCTAGTGTATGTTTAGTTATTGCCACAAGTGAACACTGTTTTGTAACGCACAAAGTCCATGCATTCTGTTAATTTAGTGGACAAGTAGAGATGGATCTTACAAAGGAAGAAATTTTTAATTAATTACACTGCTCGACTTTGAAAATGCAAAACCAAGAAGGAGTGGTCAGAAAGTGATGAAATTTGGAAAAAATACAGAGACAGCAAGGAGCAATAAGTGACCTTTATTTCAAAATGATAGTCAAAATACAGAGTGAGAATGGCGTCGGCTCAGTAGGATGTAGGACCACCGCGGAACAGCGATGCACGAAGAAGCACGTCTAGGCATAGTGTCAATAAGAAAGTGGATGGTGTCCTGAGGGATGGCTCTCCATTCCCTATCAACCATTTGCCACAGTTCGTCTTCTGAACGAGGCAGGGGCAGAGTCTGCAAACGGCGTCCAATCACAACCTACACATGTTCGATTGGTGACAGGTCAGGAGAGTACGATGGCCAGGGAAGCATCTGTTTACCTTGCAGAACATGTTGGCAGATGCAAGCACTGTGCAGTCGGGCATTATCCTGATGAAAAATTGCATTAGGCAGCCCCTGAAGGTAGGGGATTGCCGACGGCCGCAGTACATTATCCAAGTATTGTTGGGCTGTCATAGTACTCTGAATACAAACTAGAGGTGACCTGGAATCGTAGGCAATATCACCCCAAACAATTATGCCATGTTATCATGCGGTGGGCATTCCACAGTTACTGCCAGATTAGATCTGTTTCCACATTGATGCCACACACGTATGCGGTGACTGTCACTGGATAAACAGAAGCGTGACTCATCTGAGAACACAACATTTTGCCATTCTGTCATCCACATCGCTCCAGTCTGGCACCATTCTAAACGTTGGCGTCTATGCTGTGGGGTCAATGGCAGTCTTCTTAACGGACAGCATGAGTGCAGGTCACATTCAAACAGTCGACGGGAAATGGTTTTGGTCGACACGGGAACATCCAGAGTATCTTGCACATGCTGCAGAATCGCGGTGCAAGTGACTTGCGGGACCACCACAGCTTGTCAGCGGATGCGTCGATCCACGCGTGCTGACGTCACTCGGACTGCACCGCATCCCTCCTTCTTCCTACATTTCCCTGTTCCAACCATGTTTGCCATTGTCGATGCACCGTGCTCACATCCATGTGGGTATCAGCTGCGATTTGACGTAAGGACCAACCCGCCCTTCTCAGTCCAATCACCATACCCCCCGTAAAATCGTCTATCTGCTGGAAGTGCCTTCGTTGATCGTTCGGAAGTGCCTGGCATTCTCTCGTATTACACGTATCCTCCGGGACAAAAACAAACTTTCTTTGATAATTTGTCTGGCAGAAATAACGAGACGAATATTGCCCATTCTGCAAGTTCCTTCCCTTATACCTTACTTCAACTGCGATGGAGAGCTGCACATTTCACATTATTTGCATAACTCAGTGACGTGCGTCTACTCTAAAATTTGCATAAATTTCTGACCACTCCTTCTTGGTGTTGCATTTTCAATGTTGAGCAGTATATATAGCTATTTTGCTTTTGCTATGAACTGTTTCGTAAATTGTGCTTTATAGCATTTATTACCTTGTTTATTTTTCAGATTAAAATAATATGTAATAAATCGCCAAAATGGAAAGTAATGCCCCTTTATAATTTGACAGCAAAAGAAAATAAAAGTTAATGTTATTTCTTAAATGTTTATTAATAAAAGTTAATGTTATTTCTTAAATGTAATTTAAATATATTAACATTATTTTAGTTAAATTTATCAATGTTTCCAAAAAAAAAAAAAAAAAAATCATCGAAAAATTCTCAGATCTCTGAATTAAAAATTTCTATAGAAATTAATTTTAAAATCGCCAAAATTTTGATAAGTCGCCAAATTTAGAGCTGTTTAATAAAAGAATTCACATCCCCAAAAGCAGAAAGTTGTTTAAATGCTCTTCATTAGAAAAAAAAAAAATGAAATAATTTTGAAATGCTTATGCTTCACTCCTTGCTGAGAAAAAAGTATTATTATAAACTCCCTTTATATTAGAAATAGGAACAAATTATAACCCATAAACACATCCAAAAGATAATCATATTTGTCAGTGAATTGTCAAAAATATTCCTCAATAATGATAATTCACATTCAAAACAACAGTCGCAAAAACAAGACAGAAATTTCAGATGATTAAAATTAAGGAACTTCTGCTGATTTTTGACAAAATTAAGGACTTTTAAGGACCAAAAATCGGTTAAAAAAAATAAAAAAAACCACTAAGGATTTTTAAGGAGCGTATGAACACTGTATTTACCTACTTTACACATAAGTAAATATATGCAAGTAAAGGCTACTTTACTTACATGGACTTGGCATAAACATTTACTTACTTTGCACTCCAGTCTATTTTTCCAGGTATTGAAAAAACTGGATTGGAAGCTTGGCCATATCCTCTTGTTTTTTGTACTGGTGTTCCATTTACAGTTGGCTGAGAATTTCGTCGATCAAACGAAGGAGGTGGATATGCATTATTATTATTATAATGACCTAAAATACATTTTACTTTAAATTGCAATAATGTAGTATTTTAAAACTTTATCTTGTTTAATGAATTAACAAAATAGCATGCAATTAAATATCACTTACCACTCAATTTTAACCTTGATGAGTCATTATACAAAACATTTCTAGTATTTTGCACACCAACATATCTTGGTTTGGCAGTATACTGTTGCTTTGCAGAAAACCGTGCAACCATCTCCTGATGTGATGGCTGCCTGCTAATACTGAAAATAAATATAACAAAGAAATTATTCATAGACTAATTTAATTTTTTTAATGAAAAGTAATGAAAACAGAATAGAATATAACATTGTATTGAAACTGCTTTATTTCTATTCATATTACAAATATGTCTATGGAATTAAAATTATAAAAATTATAAATCTAAATTATTAACCAAGTGATATTAGAAAGACACATATTAAGTGGCTAAATATAGTCATACAGGAAAGAAATTTTCATATTAATTTCATGTTCTCATCCACATCTCGGAGTTATAAATTTTAGATACACAGAAAAATAACACAATTAAATAGTAAACTAAAAATTTCAGATACACAGAAAAATGATAAATAATGTATAAATAAATGATATTTCTAATTACATTTTGTCTCTGTCCACACTGTTTTCAGAATCTGAAGGGCCGTCATTTTCTTGTGATATATGATCACCCCACCTCCTTCTGTAAGCTGATTTTTCCTAGACAAGAATCAAATATATTAATATTCTGAAATTAATATATTATCAAAAATATTATTTAAATTTAAAAAAAGTAACAAGAAGACATGTACTGCATATTACAAAAGAAAATTTTTCTCCATACAGAATTTTCAAAAAGTAAATATTACCATTGTTTATAATATTGTATGAACGCACAAATTCTTGCAGATACAAAATTCTTTTAAAAACTGTACCTTACATCTCATGTTTTTCGTGAAAAACATGACTATTTTATTAGCTAAAAATAATTACCAAATTAAAGGAACTGAAATGATTTTTCTCTTCTGAATTTTGTAAGAGGGGTGAATAAAATATCATTAAAAAAAACTATCGTTTTCACAAAGTATTGTTCAAGTTAAATTACATTATAACAGTTCAGATTTACTTTAGGATTGTTTTATAGTGTTGATGAAAATTAAATATACAATACTTGAAATCGTAAATTTAATTGAAGGAAGCCATTATACCAAATACATTCCATAACTTAGGTCAAAGATGACTTGAAAATTGTTTACTTATGTTTCATATGATGGATTATTCTCTAATTACTATTCAATTCTGATACAAATAAAAAAAGTAATAGACATTACACATAAGATAACAGTAACAGAATTCAGAAATGTACTTGTACAATCTTTTGGCAGTAATATGTAGTGTCTAGCACACTTTCAGCATAGAAATACCCCAGTGGCAGAACTAGCTGAAATCACAAGAAATTACTGACATTATGAATTATGACAAATGGTTAGCAATTCATTTATCCCATGAAAAAGGATCCAAATGGAAGAAATATGTAAAAATCTGAGGTAGCCAAGACTGGAGAATACAAAGGGCAAAAGACACTGATTTTTCTGTGCCTTAAACACACACTTGATTATATTTGATCTTGCAGGTGTTTAGGATCCAAGATGGCAGTATACATCATTTGTGACTATTTGGGCATGCAGCAAAATCTTATAATTCACCACAGAGTTACTACTACTCTGTAACACACAAATCAGAACACGAGTGCAAATATGGTATGGACATTTAATTCCACAGTTCCCCTTTATTCAGTCATTGTGTTATTTGTTTTTATTTAAAGCATCCATTTTTGATCAACAGTAAAGATTTGATATGAAAATGGATACCTATTCTAACACTGTTTTTTTAAAGTTATCTATGTTTCCAGTTATTTCATCTGCTACCATTTTGGACTACAGTTTAAATTCATGCAAAATTACTAATCTCATATTTATATTGTCAACATTGAAATCTAAAAAACTGGTGGATTTTTGTGATGAAATCGGAGGTTTCTATGCTGACCTGTGACACCATTTCAAATTAATTCACTTCAATGTATGATTCAGGTTACTAAAGTATTCATAATATAATTCTGATGCAAAATATATTAGTATTTAATTGGATGTTCTATTTGTTATGTTCTAGCTAATTTCATTTTTAAAAAATTTTCTAATAAGCTGATACTGAGAAAATCACAAATAGTAAAATTTATCAAAACTTTATTTATCAAAGTTCTTTTAAATACGATGAAAATAAAATTAATGATTAATGTACATAGTATTTGTGTGGATAAACCTAGTAATGTACCATATATTGAAGTAAATAAAATTAAATACAAATATTAACTGATTATATATTGCTTGAATCTTCATATAAAAATCTATGTACATCTCCATTAGATTAAGACAAGTCAATTAAAATAAAATTCAATAAGATCAATAAAAATGTCATACAGTACATTTTAGATGAAATACAATTTCTCTGATTTAAGTTTCATCAATTCAATAAATTTTATTTATTGCAGAGAAACATTTTCTTTAGTAAAGGCTAAAAATTAAAAACCAGGAGTTGGGTGATGCACTTGAAGAGTTGGCAGCAATGCTCCATATTCCATTGCTCCATAATACCACAAACTGCTCTGATCTGACTGAAATATCTTTTCCCATGCAAAAACAGAACTTATTCATTTTATAGAGAGAGACTAGTAATTCTTACTAACTATCTCTAAAGACTAGCTTTCCAAAGTTAGCATAAAGTCTGAGATCCAGAATATTCAGGACTTTGGTGATTCCGGATCTTAGATCATCAGTTTAAGTAAGATGACATATATAAATTATTAAAATTAAAAATAATGGAATAATGAAACATTTATGACCATAAAGGAATCAAACAGTATAAAAAAGGTCCATATTTATTTAATTAATAATATTTATTGTATAAATATTATTAAAGGCCCACCAGCAGCCAAGTGGTAAAAGCCCTGAACACTGATAGTTCGGTGCGGGGTTCAAGTCCTGGCGAACGGGCTGGCTGCATGGGCTTTTTCGTTGTTTTCCCCACGTGTTTGAGCTAGTTTCCCGTAAAAAGACATTCACGGGGCATTCCTCCCTTTCCATGTAGTGCCTTAAACATTTCTCTCAATGTAAGTTGTTTAAGCTGTTATCCCCAATACTTTCTCTTTAGTATTATATACTAAAGTTTTTAATGATCTTATTGAAGTTCTGTAAATGCAGCATTAAGAATTCCCACTAAATCATCAATCAAAATTGTTTCACTCTCAAAAAACTCTTTGTTACCATCACTATTTTCACTATTGGTAGTACTGTTTTCTGGAATGAAAACCATAATACACATTTTGCAGTGTATTAGTTGACTGCTGATTGAAGCATTGCCATTGTAATGGAAAAAAAACTTCTGTTACAGCATCTTCATTTATTATCTCTTCTTCACATTCCTTCACTAATTCTATTAATGCAAAAATTTCGCCTTTTGCCTGTGATAATTGAAAATCTTCAAATTGCCAGCTATTATCTAATCATCATCAGCATTAAAAAATATAGTAGCTGGCCATTAATTACGCCAAAGTTTTTTAAATATCTGCAGACGTGTCCCTCCTTTCTCTGCTGCTGTTCAAACAAAATTAATCCAGTATGAGCACATCCTATTTGATGTCTTGAGGTTCACTTATTTTTTAGGACAGACAGAAAAATGCTACACTTCCACCTCCCACAGCCCACCAAGCACTGAAAATCTGGTCTTAGCAAACATCAATTAATGTACTGTCATTGGCCAAGATGTGATTCCCTAGCCAGCAAGTGTTTGAAAATTGACATGCACAAATCTTAGTTAATGGGGATAAAAATACCTTTCTTCCCATTATCCGTGTCTTAAATATTATATTAGCCTTAGAAAAACAAATAATTAAAAAAAAATTGCTTTCGGTTTTGAGATTTAGATATCAGATTATTTCAAGTATTGGACATCTACATTTCAGACTTCGTATTGCATTTAATATTTATATGATCAAAAACATTTTAAATATTTTTACACATTCGCAAAAGTTTAACACTCTACATATAAATTAAATATACTCTTCTTAAGCACATAACAGTATCAAAATTAAAGGATAATGAGAAAAAATAATAATAACTGTAATAATTTGTTAATTAAATACAACTGAACAAAAAATTTCACTTCTGCACATACGTTAGGAACAAAAAGGTGCAAATTTGGTAATTGACTTTGGTGATTCCGGATCTTGACTTTGGTGATTCCGTTATGTGCAATGGACACATGTAAAAATTCCAGTCAACACTGTTATTTAAAGTGAATGTGGTTTCTGACAGTGATCAGTTATGACTTGAAGGAATCCTTTAAGGGAAGGTAAAAAATGGCAAATAACTAGTATAGAATCAAGAGAGGTCAAATACGAGTATAGGCCACCCAAGATCTGAATATCCCTTAGAGTGTTATATCAACAGTATAGAGCTGCTTTTAGTACCAGATCAGCTGATGGACAGCCTGGTTAAAGGCAACCAAGAGCAACAACTGCATAAGACAGTTTTCTGTCATTGGCTTGGAGAAACTGTAAAGACAAGAGATTTAGTTTCAGACCTTCAGGCTACGACAGAAACTCAAATTGGCCATTCTACTGCTAAACAATGACTTAATAGGGTTAGATTGTATATGTGAGTAAGCTAAAATAGTTTGTGTTCCACTCCAGCTTCCAGAGGGGCCTATTAAATTGGTGTCGTCGTCATGTTTAATGGAGCCAAGTTGACTAGGCCTAAGTACTGTTTACTGGTGAATCCAGATATTGTCTGAAGATAGATTCTACATGTGTTTTGATCTGGAGAGTGGAAGGAACATGCAACTTTCCCTTGCCTTCCCTTGCCTGTGAAATATTCGTTCTTGGCTAGTTGACTAGGCCTAAGTACTGTGTACTGGTGAATCCAGGTATAGTCTGAAGAGAGATTCTACATGTGTTTTGATCTGGAGAGTGAAAGGAACATGCAACTTTCCCTAGCCTGTGAAATATCCCGTTCTCACGTCTGTGGTTTAATGGTTTGTGGAGGAATAACGACAAATGAATGCATCAAGCTGCATATTCAAGCAGGCTCTGTAACTGCTCGGAGATATGTGGATGAGGTACCGAAACACCAAATAAACTGTTTAGGGGTGCTGTTGGCCCAGAGTTTTTTCTAACTGATGACAATGCTCAGCCTCATCAAGCATACGTGTTGTCAGAATACTAGCAAACAGATGATATCACTTGAATGGATTAGCCACTTTACTCACCCAAATTGAAACCGATTGAGCATTGTGGGATGCCTTACGGCACTGAATTTCAGCATGCCAAATTCTTCTCGAACCCTCCACGAGATGAAAAATGCACTGTTAAAAGAGTGGCATGCAATTCTACAAGACTCGATTAACACTTTGGTAGCATCTATAAAATCAAGAACTGAGGTATCTGTTCAAGATGACGATATATCTTATTAAAGAAAATATTTTTCCACATCTTTCCATCATTTCCATAAATTAGGTTTTGATTTCAACATTTTATGAATAATCAACTGCTAAATGTAATTTATGTTAACTAATGCTTTTGTACAAATTTCTATTAACAATTTTTCATCAAATATCAGTTACTCTGTCATTCTCCTTTAATTTTGATGAACAGTGTATATTCTTAAACACATGATTGTCACCGTGAATCATAAGTTAGAAAACAGATATAAAATTGCCTAAAGATAATATTTAACATTCTGATATTTTGCTTTGCATTCCAAATATTGTGATGTAAGAAGATTTACCTCAGAAGCTTTCAGTTTAGGGATATTTTCATTATATGAATCTGGTAGGTGCCTATTAAAAGCAGATACTCTGCGATTTGTTTGAGCCATTGGCTTTAATCCATTCTGGAAATAAGGGTAACGTGCTGCCTAAAAAATAAGATATAATTTCATTAGTGGAAACACATTCTGTTCATCCAAATTAAATATTTTTCAAGGTTCCATTAAAAAAAAGAACTTGAATCACTACACAAAAAAGGGGGGGGTGATACATTTTTTAACTGGAATGGTAAAATATTGTTCTTTCATATATATATTTAATTTTTAAATGTAAATGTACTAAAATGAAGAACACTTACCAGAAATTCACTTATTATAAATGAAACTTATCTAAGTACACTTTAAATTTAAAAAAAATGACAGGTATTAGCATTGAGTTAACAGCCTCTAATTTCAAACATTTTTAAAATATTTCAAGGCAATACTGGGTTATAGAAAAAAGTTTTGCAGTTTTTTTTAACAATAAATAAAAACAAAGCAGCAAAAAAATATAAGAAACTTTCATTGAATTAGATATGCACCCTGTTGTTCTACGACTTTTTGTCATTGATCCATTGATCCAGCAGTTAGGAAGTTCCTTAAAAAAAAAAAAAAAAAAAAAAAAAAAATCAGTCTTATTCATAAAGAAGTTATCTAGGTGTGCAATTTCAGTCTCCAAAGAAGTTTTGAAGTGCCTTGAACAGATGGAAATCTGAGAGGGTATGGCTTGATGAATATGGTGGGTGACCCAAAATATTCCAACATAATCAACAGTCTTTGTCTAACATTCATCAAAATCACAGACATCACCTCGGCGATAGGCCAGTTCTGGGCATTTTGCTTTGATTTCATTACAGCTGAAAACACTGCCATAAAAATCATGGAAGGATAAAAAAAATAAATACCATTGCCATTATTCTAAAACATTCTTGTAGAAAGTAAAGCAATTAAAGAGCTTAGCAAATTTAAAACATCATCTCAGAAAGCACTGTGGTAAAAAATAAAGCATTTACAAATTATCATATGATGATAATATTGAAGGAATGTTTTCAGACTTTAAAAGTTTTAAATGCATATTTACATAATGATTTGCGATCACAAAAAGAAGTGAGAAATATTTTTGCATTCATATTTCATATTTTTGAATTTTTTCAATAAATAAATAAATAAACGAATACAATTTTATAAAGGAAATTAATTAAATAATGATCTTTTAATAATTAACTACACAAATTTAAAATCCTATTAATTCCTATTAGTAGCATTAATTTCTACTCGCTTTCAATTTTTAAAAAGCTTAAGTTTCCTTGCATTTTCAAAAAGAATTATTAGTTTATTAAAAATTATAAAATATAAAGCTAAAAATATTCCCCATTCTTGTACTCATAAATTATTATGCAAATATGAATTTAAAATTTTTGAAATCTGAAACCCCCTCCCTGAGGTGCTATCATCATTTAATAATTTGTAGATCATTTATTGCTTACCACAATATTTTCTAGAGATATTTTTAAATTGTGGGTTTTTTTTTAAACCACTTAATTTTCTATGATGATGTTTTATACCATACTATTTTTATAACAGAAATATTTTTTCTTTGTTTTCTCCCACAGTGGTATTTACTATGATGGTTTCTCCTTGTATTGTTTTCTTCGATGTTTTTTCTTTTGTGTTATTTTTGCCTGTAACCAACCAAATCAAAGTGAAGCATCCAAAACTGACCAATTATCAAGCTGTTGCCTTACATCATTACAATGTTCAGCCCCACATTTCAATGAATGTCAGATAAAGACTTATTAAGCATGCCTGGAAATGTTTTGTATCACTCCTCATATTAATTAGGACATGCTCCCTCAGATGTTCACCTCTTTGGGTTACTTCAAAATTCTCTGAACAGCATGTAGTTTGCTTCTTAGGAGATGGTTAAACTAAATAACTTCTTTCTGAATAAACGTAATGACTTTTTTAAAATAAAACCTTTCCAGCTGCTGGAGAGATTGTGATGTTTGCTCCCCCAATGTTTTCCTTTTGCACTATTTTCTCCACAATGTTTTCAGCCGTCACCTTTTTTATTTTTGTTTTTAAAACTGCCATATAAGAACAGCATTTTTCTGAATTTATTACCTGATTTGGTGGCAACTATTCATAGTATACAACTCCTTTGTAGTCCCACCAAAACAGAAAGCATTACTCTTTTTGGACACAGACCCCCTCTCAATGTTACCAAAGGCAGTTCTTTTAGCTTATCAATTTTTTTCTTGTATTGTTATTGTAGAGATGTGTCTTGTATTGTCTTGTACTTCTCATCTCTAGAAATGAGCAGTTTAATGAAAAAACACTGAATTTTGCACCGAACACTGATCTCTTTGTATATAGAGCAGATGTGTACTTTTTGAGTTTCAGCATGTGATTGTTTGAAAAGAAATACAAGAGCTCCTTTAGAGCAGATAAACTTATTTGCTATTTAAGAAGATTAAGAGATAGTTATTAGTCGCTTATGAAGTATGGAGTATCCATACATAATATACGGTTTATGTACACAGTCTCCTTCAAATGACCATATACTGTACTCTTTGGAATATTTATTCTCTTTAATAGTTCCTGAACTGTATAACATAGATTTTCACACTGAGTTTTGTTTTGATAGCTCCTTGTTTACAAAGGATGGTCATTCAGAGCAGGCATTATCTTTGAGGCTTAAATTTATCTCAATCCATCTCAAACCATCTTTGAAGTGTGTCATCAGAAACAGCACTTTGTTCGCATATAGCACAAATGTTACAAGTAGTTGGATTAGCAATTTCCCCTTTTCACTTTTTTTCTATCCCCGCCCCATAAAAGACCCTAATATGATGAACTCTTGGGTTGCCCATTCTTCTTAGTAATACATTGAAACAAAAATACTTGAAATCATATATTCAACGCTTAAGTTTTCATTGCATATAACACAGTCACGCAATTCCTGATTTGGGGATTAACTGTACATAAATATAAAACTGAAATGGGAATCTTAACAGCTGCACACAACATCAGAAGATGACCTGCCCGGGTTAAGCTCCTTGGCAGTGAAAACTGATCCTAACAAATCACTTGTTTTATTCTCACTGTATGTTCTTCACTGCAGTTTAATCACAACCATTTAAATAAAAACTTTTCCAGATTTCACACTTTTTAAACATACCAAATATCACAACTTAATCAACAATCAACTGCAAAATCTAAACCTCTTTACTTAGTCTGCATATACCAATAAAAACATGAAATCACCATTTGAGGTGGTCATACTTACTCTATTGAAGACAGCTTTTATTATAATTATTATTTAATACCTGAGAAAGATGTTTGTGTATAATTTTGTGTTAGTGTGGTAAAACTATTGTGAAAAAAAGTGCTTTCATGCAACTTGTGCCTGTTACTGTGTTACTTTTGTTAATATTTTGGTACCGCCTAAAATATCTTACACGTGATTTCTTACACCCACGTAGCTCTAATCTAGCCATGCAGCTGAAAATTCCTCTTATAATTCACAAAACAACCAGGTTGAGAAATTCATTCCTTCAAATCAACTATAAGCAAAACTTAAAACCAGAATAATGTACTGTGTCTATATCTAAGATTTTGCTTAAATTTCCTTTTAGGCTTAAAATAGTTCTCGGAACAATAAAAATATTGCTATAAATTTTGTAAACATTTGTGTTTGTAATTGAGGTGTTATGTATTTGCATAGTGTTATGTATACCTTTTATGCATTTATTTAGTTATTTTATGCAATATTTTTACTTCACATTTTTGTTTTCTTTTATTTTTTAATACAGTTTGCAGCCACATATTATATTTGAAACTATTTATTTCATGCATTACATTGTAAATCTTGTAATCATGAATCATTATACCTTTGAATTATAATTATAGTTCACGTAGAACCAGATGCAGAAACAAACATGTTCCCAACTAGATCTTAGCAACAGTAAGCAAATTCTTTCCAACTTGATGATATTCTGGAAGTTTCTAAAAATGTGGTTTAGAAGCATTAGCAGCGATTTTCTCGAAGCTTCCAGAAATGCTCAGTCACTGAGTTAATTCAAAGTGTGTGACTGGTTTGAGACTTTCACTCAATAAGATTTTGCACTGAGAGTAATTCTGGTGATCTGTGATATTCTTTGCATGTTAAGGAGAATTTGCCTTTTTTCATTCTTTTTCTTTTTTTTCTATTAATAGTTAATTATATTACTGTATAAACTGACCTTTTCCTCGATAAGTTTCAATTATTCTTGTTTATCGGGTCTAGTAAGCAGATCTCCACAAAAACGCAGAAATGCAATAACTGGTTTCAAAAGTGAAGATCTCTTTGAATGCTTATTATGGAGATGAAAGCACTCAAAGTCATTAAGGATATGACTGCAACCAGCCAGGAAGAAGCGGCAGCCATTACCAATGAAATGAAGGCTGAGAGGGAAAAACTCCACTGAGAAAATGTTGCTGAAATAGAGATAAGTGAAGAATTTGATAAAAGCACATACAGACCTTTAATGATACTTCAGACACCAAGTATGGAAAACTGTATATGTTGCTAACATGACAATTCAGGCCACAGAAGAAAAATTCAAGAATAAGCTAGAATTTGTTAGTCAGAAAACTAGAATGTAAAATTATCTGTTAATGACAAAGTTGTTAGTATCATTGAAGAAATTTCAACACTAAATTATACTCCTGAAAATGAGCTACAGATATAAGGGCAAACAATTTTGGAACCAGCTCAGCTTTCTGTGACTGATGTTCCAGCTAATCTTTCTGTAAATATTATCCTGTTCAGTTATGTTGTCTCATATCAAGCTCCAGCAACATTATGGGAAATGGTACTTTTCCGTTTCGCTGGCGCAAATCTCGCCAAGATAAAAAATGCTAACAAATGCTAGTTCTAAGAATTTTTAATTTTGAAGGCTTAAACATTTTAATATCGTATAAACTTTTGTAAAAAGCCAATAAATAAAGACAATAAATTTGCAAAATAACATCAGTTTAAGAATTTATTATGCTTTTACAGTTCAACATCCTAATTCGCCGGTTCGTATCATGTGACCCTAAGTGATCTCATCTCACATAAACTACGCTATAAAAATCTAATTCTCTCAGTAATTATCTACACTAATTTCCAGTTTAATTTGGATACAAGTTTAAATGCAAGAAATACTTCAATTCATACGAATAGCTTATGTAAAACCACAGTGCTTTATTTCGCTAGTGCATTGTCATTAGAATTGGTGAAGTTAACCCTTTACTTTGCCTTTTCTATATTTTTGCCTTCAGGTGAGCGGTGTGATGACATCATGATTGACTTAATTACCATGAGTGGCCTTAGGGCATAAAATTGAACTATCTGGTAAAAATTCTATGTAATTGCATGCCAGTATTGAAAAAACAATCAATCTGATAAGAAATGGCTCCGACTTGTTTTGAAAATGAGGTGTAAAAGGTTACCAGCAGATATTCTGTTTGGCATCAGTTGTACCATTACTTTATTGCCTGCGGCAGCAAAACAGAAAAGTACCTGGGAAATTATTAAGGAATGTGTGTAAAATGCAGCATGAAATGATTTTGTAAGTTAACAAAGGGAAGTTCTCCTCCAAGGGAATTTTCTCTAAACATCTTCAAGATCTATGTTTTCAAGCAAGTGCCTGGTGACAGTGAAGAAGAAAAAAGGGATGATTTGGTTATTTGCACAGTTCTGTGAAAACAATGTCCAGAACTTTCATCAATTACGGCTTCAAACTGAAGAATGCAGTTGTAAAAAGGCTCATGTTTGACAAGACTTTTCTTTAAACTTTTGAGACTACTTTAGAGTTTTGGGGATGCTAAAGGTACCCTTTAAAACCCTTTTAAAAGAAAATTTAATCATATGGAAACCAGACAACACTTATTTAACTAGCTGTCTACTAAATTTAATAAGGTTAACTTGCAGTTAATAATTACAATCTAAATGTAATAAAAACCAAAGTCCATCACTGCAGCTTTTCTTTTACCTGAATTAACCTAACTAAGCAAAATGTTGGACAGTGAGAATTTTTCGTTTCCCAGTTTGTTACAAACTGCCACGATGAAGATAGTCCATCACTGCAGCTTTTCTTTCACCTGCATTAACCTAACTAAGCAAAATGTTGGACAGTGAGAATTTTTCGTTTCCCAATTTGTTACAAACTACAAACTGCCACGATGAAGATATTTCAGCTTGCGTTCAACATTTAAATGCCCACCACATAGACTTTAAAAACAGGTTTGAGGATGTTTAGACTGTGGAAATACACTCACATTTGTGAAAATTGCAACACCATGAAGGACTTACGCGAGTGAGCTGAAATTTTCAGGAAATGCAAAGTAGCGCATGATATGCAAATGATTAGAATTGCAAATCCGTAGCGCATGCGTATGCTGAGCAGCGCCCTCTGAACGGCTGATGGATCCGAATAAATAGACGGCTGTAGCGAGGCGTGTATGGTTATCAGTGGTTATCTGCTAGTGGTAAACGTTAACTCAATCTGTACTTATGCCTCGTCGATGAAAGAGAGCGAGATTTGAACAACTTACAGAGTTTGAACGAGGGAGAATCATTGGCCTTCGTGAAGCTGGATTGTCGTATCGTGCAGTAGCCTCTCGTGTGCAGCGTAACAGCAGCACAGTGATGCGCGTTTGGAAGCAGTGGACGGACGAGTGTCGGACAACTCGGAAATCCGGGAGTGGACCCCGAAATGTGACGTCAGCTCGCGATGATAGACACCCTGGTCCGCATGGCGCGGACGATCGTACAGCTTCCTCTAGACAATTGGCAGCACTGTGGTCAATAGCTACAGGTGTTTCATTGTGTGCTTCATGAATTCGTAGACGTCTGCTGCAGTGTGGACTGTGCGCACGGACTCCTTTATACAGGATCCCCCTAACGCACGACCATCGCCGCCTGCGGCTACAATGGGCCAATCAGCATAGAGACTGGCGTGCTGATTGGCAGCATGTCGTGTTTTCTGACGAATCCCGCTTTAATTTGTGGTACCATGATGGCCACATTCGTGTCAGACGCTATGCCGGTGAATGCCACCTTCCGGAGTGCATTATCGAACGCCACAGTGGACGAACACCCGGAGTTATGGTCTGGGGCGCCATAGCATATCATAGACGATCTCAATTGCTACGAATTGTGGGCAATCTGAACAGCAACCGGTATATCCGTGAAGTTCTACAGCCCGAAGCTGTTCCCTTCCTTCAAAGCTTGCCAGGCGCTGTATTTCAACAGGACAAGCCCCGCCCCATCATACTGCTCGATTGTTAAATCCTTCTTTGCAGCGCAGCAGGTACACAGCTTCTTCCTTGGCCTGCGTGTTTTTCCCGGATATGTCGCCAATTGAACATGTTGGGATGTCATTGGTCGGCGTCTTGCTCGTGATCCTCGTCCTGTTGCGTCTGCAGATGAACTTTGGGTACGCGTACAAACGATATGGAATGCTCTTCCTCAGTCAGACATTCAAACTTTGTTTGACTTCATGCCACGTCGTGTAGCAGCACTTATTGCGGCGCGTGGTGGCCACACCAAAATACTGATTCTGATCTCTTGTTCTTGTTTGTTTGCTTTGAACATTTAATCATTTATTTGTACCACTACCACTCAACTGTGTATTAAATTGCATTCAATTATGACGATTCCTTCTTGGTGTTGCAATTTTCACAAACGTAAGTGTACCACAATGAATTAACAATCTATAGAGTGACAATCTATAGTCCATCACTGCAGCTTTTCTTTCACCTGCATTAACATAACTAAGCAAAATGTTGGACAGTGAGAATTTTTCGTTTCCCAGTTTGTTACAAACTGCCACGATGAAGATATTTCACCTTGCGTTCAACATTTAAATGCCCACCACATAGACTTTAAAACCAGGTTTGAGGATGTTTAGACTGTGGAAATACCACAATGAATTAACAATCTATAGAGTGACATTGAAGAATTGAGTATCACTTTACAAAAACAACTGACAGGAATAAGCCTTAATTTAACATTTAGTTTTAAAAGGGATATCAGCAATTATGGCTCTAGATAGGCATACCTGTTACTTATCATGCATTATGGACTATTTTACAAGAAAGTTTTTGACAGCTTTTCTACTTTAATACACCATGAAATGGGATTTCAGTACAGTTGCCACTATTCTTAGGGGGAGGGGAGATTGGAAATCATTGGCCAAAGTATGTGTGTATGTATGTGTGTACTTATTTTTTGTAATAATATTAATAAATATGCATTTTGTGCACTTTGATTAATAGAGGTATATGAATTAAAACTTTGCACACTTTTTTATTTCAAAATTTTCCACTCTACAGTAAATAACTATCAAAGTGATGTGTGTGTGTGTACGGTGTCAAAAGCACTTTTGAAGTTGATGTATTTTTTTAAATTCAATATTAGGGTAGCATTCTAGAACCACTCAGACAGTGCAAAACTTCACCTGACAGCTGTTACTATTAGATAAATTTTCACCATATCGGATAAATTTCTCACTTATCACGTGACATTTCCATACATTTTTCTTTCACCTGAGTGTTTTGGAATGGTAAAACTTTACCCGCAGAATTTCACCCTGTTTTGGAATGCTCAAGCATTAATATTACATCGCCTCACAAGTTTTGGAATGAGAAAAATTCAGCAAGTGGTCTAGAGAACAAAAAAGTTTGGAAATTTTTTTAGCTAAAGTTTTGCCCTCCCCCCCCAAAAAAATAATAAAGTGCATACCATTACAGCAGTTGGCCTTTTGTCGGGGTTCCATCGAAGCAGATCCTTCAACAAAGAAAAACCCTCTGGACTAATATTCCTAACAACTGAGTGCAAGGAAGATTCTGTAAAATGTGGGAATTTGAAATTCATTGCTAAAGCAAGTCGATATCCTTCAGGCCAATCTCTCTAGAAAACAAATTTTATAATATGAACTATATAAAAGCAATTCATTTCAATATAAAATTAGAAGTAAAAAAAATGCCAAATCTAATACTGCAATAATGTAATAATCTTGCAATATCACTGTAATTTATAACTAATTATTTAGATAAAATATAATAGAGAAATACTTACATTAGTGATAGAAACTTTTAACATATTCTAAGCTTTAAATATTCAGACAATCTTTGTTACAATAAAATGAAGAATCTGTTAGTAAGTCTACGAGTTCATTGCATGGAAAGGGTTAGCATCAAATACTCAAATTTTGACTTTCAGTTTTTTAAATATAAATATATATAATGTGCATATTTAACAAATTTTTGAAATTTTCTGCCATTTTTAGAGATATAATTTTTTGTTGCACAATTGCAATAGGCATATCTGTTTAAAACAAAATATGCTTCACTCTTGATTTTAAAAACTGGAATTTTTATAAATTTTAAAACAAAAGTTACAAAATAAGAAAACAATGCAAATATTAAAAAAAAATTAAGTATATTCTCCACATAATGAACATTATTTCATTGATAAAGAAACCTGAAATGTACATGTGTTTAATGCTCTTATCTTTTGAAGACCTTCATCTGAAGATTTGTCCCAGGCTATTGAACAATGGTATACTAAAAATACAAACAATAAGGGTAACAATATGTGTGCGGGGGAGGGGATGCTTGAGGGAATAAATAATGCTGAAAAAACACGGGTAATATTCAATACAGGTGTGCACAAGACTGTTATTCTAGATTTTTATGAAAAGCAGGACACAATTTAGGGCAAGAATGCACGTCTGACCCAAATAAATTTGAGGAATTAAGAGTCAGATTTTTTTTCCCCCCTGTAATCATTTGAAGCAGTGATTTAGAAGTGAACAATGAAGGCTTTAGCAAATGACATTTGCTTTAATTGAAATACAGCTATAAATATGTTAAATATAGCTTCTGCCAAACAAAACAAATACAGTGCTGGTTTCAAATGCGAAGTCATTCAATTTGCAAAAGAAAATCAAAATCATGCTGCAGCAAGGATGTTTGGTATTGGTGAAAGCTCCGTAGATGTGGAAAAAAAAATAAATAAATCATAATAATTAATATGCCTAAGAATAAACGTGTTTCCTAGAAGAAAGTTTTGCAAACTGGGTCGTAGAAAATCATCAGAATGGATTAATTGTAACATGAATGTGTACATTTATTAGCCTTAATGTGGACAAAAAAGAATGCAAATGAAATTGGAACCTTTAAAGCAACTCAGCTGATGTAGTAAATTTATGGCATGGAATAATTTAGCTCTATGAGGAAAAAAAAAGTTTCACAAACTTTTCTAAAAGATTTTGGCAACAAATTGATAAGTTCCCAGAAGTATGTTATGTATCTATGAAGGGGGGGAAATGCACAGTCACAAATTGGAAATATGAATGAAACTCCAATAATGTTTGATATGACAGAAAATAAAACAACTGATGTGAAAGGAACAAAAATAAATCACATAAAAATAACAAGTCACAAAAAATCTCACCTTATTGTAGTGTTTTCCTGTTTAGCCATACGGTAAAAAATTAAAACTCATGGTTATCATTATAAGATGCCGCCGAAATGTAATTTTTCGACTGATGTTTTCATTCATGTTTATGAGAAAGGATAAATGGATGAAAATGGTGTAAAATTGTGGGTTTGGCAAAAGTGTCCTGTTGCCTTAAAAATCCAGAAAGTCCTTTAGCTTGGGACTCGTTCAGATTCCTTTTAATGGATAATATGACAAAATTGATAAAAGACTAACACACACATGACAGTTATTTCAGGCAGATTAACATCATTAGTTGTGTGTCTTAATAAACCATTCAAAGAAATTTAAACCAACAATAGAATATGTGAATGTTAGAAGATGAAAAAGCAATTGCAAAAGGAGCCCAAATGCATCATGCCAGTCAACAAATAGTGTACGAGTGGATTATAAATAAAATGAAATTACACCCGACATAATTTAAAAATATGTAGCATATCTAACAATCTAGACATAATGGAAGACAATTATTTATTTATGGATAAGAGTAATAATAATAGTGAAGATGAAACAGAATTCGATCATGTACTTGAAGATATAACAAAAGAAGAATACACTGGTGTGCAAAAATTAAGGATGAGACGGTTTTTTCAATATAACTTTGTACAAAAGCTTTCCAAACAAAACATTTAATACCGTAAGATCCCCAATACGTAAGGACATGAGTAATGTAAGCAACACTTACTAAAAGAGAAATCAGAGGAATAAAAAGAAGCTTTATTTCTAGGCAGCTGCCAAGCGTCTGCCTAGAAAATCCCATACATGCTCGATGGGATTGAGATCCGGAGATCGTGCCGGCCAATCCATACGTTCAATATCCTCACTCTCTAAGAGCTGTTCGGCAGCTACTGTGCTATGACATGGTGCATTGTCGTCCATGAAGGGAACTGCGGACCCATAGTGCCTCTAAAAAGACGCACATATGGAAGAAGAATCTCGTTACAATAACGGGTCCCGTTGACTGAACCTGCGTCGAAGATGTGAAGGTCTGTACGACTACCAAGCATGATGCCTCCCCAAACGAGAACACCGCCACCTCCATACCTGTCCCTTTCAATGATGTTCGAGGGATGATTGCGGCTTCCCCGCTCTCTCCAGATGAGTATGTGATGAGAATCGCTACTCAGACTGAATCTGCTCTCATCTGTAAAGAGTACTCGTCCCCATTCATTGTCTCTCCAATTCCGGTGTTCCCGGCACCACAGAGAACGCCTTCTCCGATGGGCAGGCGTTAGAGGTACACACCGTACAGGGCGTCGTGCAAACAGACCACCACCATGCAGTCTTCTGGCCACGGTAAAACACGATATCGGTCGTCCAGTCGCCTGTGTCGTGTATCTAGCGATTTCTCCCGCTGCCTGCCGCCTGTTTCTTCTGGCCTGTAAGGCACTATACCGGTCATCTGCGGGTGTGTTTTCCTCGTGAATGACCACTACTAAACCCCCGGATAGCTGTTCCTGTAGTTTGAAATTGTCTCCAAAGTCGTGAAACGATGCTGTGAGCAATTCCGAACTCTGCAGCCACACTTGTCACACTGCGGCCTTCCTCCAACTTCCCAATGATTCGACCTCGGGTAAAAGCATCCAGATGTCGTCTAACAGATTGATTATTCGCCATTTCTCGCTGAGGCAGCAACTCGGTGTGATTTTAACTGCTATACGGCGTGCAATCTCTTTGCCAGAAATACTGATCTTACACCGACAACATGCTTTATACTACTCAGACACTCCCCCATTACGTCTACCTGCATATCTGCGCATGTGCTACTGTACATCACCTTACTTAATCTCCTGATTGGTCTTTCTGTCCGCTCTGCCTCTTCGTTCAGTTGATATGCTAATTTTTCGACTTCGTCTTTAATTTTTGCACACCAGTGTATGATGAACTTTTTGTTATCCGATAAGGAACATTTTTACGTTCATAAGATATGTTATTTCTTTTAAATAAACACCATTTAAGTACATGTAGAAATCTAATTTTTTTACTATCATCTTTCCCTTATTTTTTAATCTATCTTTTTTTATCTGATATATTACACACAGCAGTAAATTTCCCTCTTAATTTGTGTACTAAAAGTGTGTCTTATATGCTGGAATATATGGTATAGCATCTTAAAGCTACGATTTTCTACCAGCAATAAGCTTTGTTTTATTTTTGCATTTTAAAATTTGAATTTTCATGATTTTCTAACAGAATTACTTAAGATATCTTAACAATCAATTCTTTGCTTTGCCAGAATAACAGTCTTACTTGCTTCGCCATTTAGAACAGCATTTACATGTGATGTCATTTGAACTAAGAGATTAAAATGTTTGAAAACTCGCTGAGGTAGGAAATTTTTGTGTTTTAGTATTTGAAATTACATTATTTTCATGTGAATTCGTAAGCTCAATGTTCTGTTTTCTGAGCTTTCATATTTTTTTGAATGCATATGTTTATTAACTATTTCTTTATTTTTTAACAATAACATTGATTAATGACTAAGCCAGAAAGAAGGCTGGCAATGCAGGAAGGGATAGCTTTCAAAAGGATCTACAGTAAGTAATTATTTTCTGTATTTTATTATCAATAAATAAAAATTAGCCTATTTGTGATTTTTTTTAACCATAATACTCTTTTATATTTTACCAGCACATACTCTAAAATATAGCAAAAATATAAATTACTATATTAAGTTGTTTTCTTTACAAAAGTAAACCAGTGAAACCACAGAACACATTATTACATATAAGTTTCTCAGTTTCATTAAATACTTTAAAGCAGATACTTTGTAGATTCTTTTCTTGAAATGATGAACTAATCAACTTCTTTAGAAACCAACAATTATGCTCTAAGAAAACTACATGTTTTTACTATAAAAGAACACAGATTTTCATCTAAAATGTATAAAAGATAAATTGCCAACAATAATAATATTTAAAATGTAACAAGTAAGTCACTCATAATTTTACTTAATGCATATAATTAAAAAAAATAAAATGTAGTTGCAAATGTTATAAAATATATGAATAAATATAAACTGATAAATTCAAAGCTGTTGATCAAATGCACTAACCTGGTCAGGAGTTCCCAGAATAGAACATATTCGAAAAATTTGGTCTATTTCAGTTCTTCCAGGAAATAATGGTTGAAGGGTATATAACTCGGCCATTATACATCCTACAGCCCACATATCAATAGGTGAATTATAATTTGTTGCCCTTAACAAAACTTCTGGGGCTCTATACCTATAAAATATTTAAATGCAACTTTTATAATTCTTCATAAGAATTTCAATAAGAAAAAGAAATACAATCTTATAAATATAATACTCTAATTATAAAAAATCTTTATTTAATGTAGCATTTAAAATATATGATTTAGTTATACTACAGTCAAAAGTCTTTAATCCGGACGTCCATAATCTGGAATGATCTATAATACGGACCTCAAAGCTACAAACATTTTGCGCATGCATAAACGCATAATGCGTCTACGCATGCGCATGACACCTTTACGCATGTGCATAATATGTTTATGCATGCGCGTTTAATGTATAACGGACAGTATAAGCTAAGCTAAAATTATCTAATTATCTATTTCAGTTAATATTGCAGATTGCGTTGTTCCTTAACCTTCTAATTGGACCCGGCTTATTATTTTTTGCAGACTGTTAGAGCAATTTTATAAAAGTAAGCTTGAACTTTCAATTATGTCAAAAAGAATTTCAGATTCTGGAGCTGCCAAAGGATCTACAAAGCAAAAGCATATTTCAATGTCCATCAAACAAAAAGTGGAATTGCTGCAAAAAAAATGGATAAAAGCATATCCTTTGTTTCTCTAACCATTCCGAAATCTGATTATCAAGTTCACGCTGCTCTGCAGAGGGGAGGACGCCGCAGCGAGCAATGAACTGGAAGTTGATCTGTCAGCACTATCCTTATCTTCAGGGCAGATGTTTTTATTTTATTTGACTTAAAATTCCTTACTAAATGTACTATTTCATCTCGATGTACTCCGACTTTGATATGATTTAAATGAAATTCCTTGTCATTATAAATATCACGAATACACATCAAATAGTTTTCTGGTTGCAATTTTCTAATTTCGACTATGCGTAATGTATGCTTTACGCATGCGCGCGTTGAAAGAAATGTTTAATAAAGTAAACAAATAAATATTAAGCTTTTTTGTAAATTTATATAACCCTTTAGATCATAATTGCTCTTTATTTCTAAATAAATTACGGTTTCATATTTTTAATTTTACAATTTCTGCATGCCATCTTACCAGATTTAAACTGATGATCTATAGTGGATGGACAAAAATATGGAAACACCTTGTGAAATGCATGTTTGAAAAGAAAGATTGATTTTAATGAAATATGTAGTTGGCGCTGGCATTTTTGACTACTGACGCCACCTATACAACTTCGTAAATGTGCTAAACAGTTCAGTTGTTATCGGAGTACTGTTATGTGAGGTTGTCATTGCATTATGTCACAGTTAACAGACTTCGAACGTGGGCAAATTGTTGGAGCACGTATGGTAGGTGCTTCCGTAAGCAGAGGTAGCCGAGGTGTTTAGTGTTTCAAGAGGTACTGTATCGAAGATTTATTCGGCATATTTGAAAAGCGGAAAAAGATCATCTGTTAAATCACAGCCCGGACGAAAGTGTGTCCTGAGTGATCGTGACAGACGATCATTAAGGGCAATTGTGACGAAAAATAAGAAGACCACAGCTGAAAAAGTTACTGCTGAAATGAATGTTGTGTTACCGAACCCTGCGAGTACCAAAACAATTAGAAGGGAGCTTCATAAACAGGGAATTGTTGGCCGTGCTGCAATTGAGAAGCCACTCATCAGTGATGCTAATGCCCGTAACAGGAAAAGGTGGTTGTTTTAAGTCATAAAGCCTGGACTATAGAGCAGTGTGGAAGCGAGTAATATGGTCTGACGAGTCTTCTTTCACATTGTTTCCCACTTCTGGCCGAGTTTACGTCTGGAGAACGCCATCTCAAGCCTATAATACAGACTGCTTGTTGCCAAGAGTGAAACATGGCGGGGGTTCTGTTATGGTTTGGGCAGCCATATCGTGGTTCTCTGCTAGCCCCATGATAACTGTGTCAGGGCACATGACTGCCAAGGCTTATGTGAACATTTTGGCCGATCAAGTTCATCCCATGGTACAAACGTTATTCCCCGATGGTGATGGTGTCTTCCAAGATGACAAAGCCCCTGTTCACACAGCTCACATTGTCCAGGACTGGTTTCCTGAGCACGAGGATGAGTTGTCCCATCTCCCCTGGCCACCACAGTCACCAGACCTGAATATTATCGAACCTTTGTGGTCTACATTGGAACGGAAAGTGCGTTCTCGTTATCCACCGCCAACATCGTTATCTGAACTTGCCACATTTTGCAGGAAGAATGGTATAATATTCCCTTGGCAAACATACAGGAACTGTATTTCCCATTCCGAGAAGACTGCAAGCTGTTTTGGATGCCAAGGTTTCCTACACCATATTAAGCAAAGAAACAAAGAAACATGTTTTTTTAAAGGTGTTTCCATATTTTTGTCCAACCCCTGTATCATCCGGAAAACCGATAATCCGGAATTGCCGAAGTCCCGACGAGTCCGGATTAAAGACTTTTGACTGTATAAGGTACTTGCATATTAACCCATCGACAAGTAACATGATTTACAGACAGTTGTGGATAAGTGTGATCATAACATCTGTGCTTTCATTTGTTACAAACCTGATTTGTTCTAGATACGTCACTTCTTGTTTAAATGAGCAAATATATAAATTAGCTGCTATTGCCGCATTTTTTCCTTGGATTTTGAAAACTTGATTAAAATTCAGTTCCTGTCTTTAACATAACAGCAAGCAGTGGATTATGGCACCCTGCCATAAAAGAGTGTTTATAAATGGGCACAATATGGTCAGCTGAATATGGCCGACAAAATAATAACAGAATAAAAAAATTATCTACAGAAAATCTGTACTCATAGCATTTTAAACAGAGCTTCCGCTAATATCAGGTGATCTATCAAAATAATAGAAAATGCTAAAAGCCTTTTTATGAAGTGCCCTCCCAAAAAAAATGCTGGTTGTAAACTTATTGTTTATTAATAAACAGGTATCCATTCCTTCAGAATTCCATAAGAATGATTGGTACATCTTTGGTGATATCTCTGCCAAGTTTGATGGTTTAATGCTAGCCAACTAGTTGATGGAATAGTATGGGAGTTCCTACTGTTATTATAAGTATCAAAATACACTCAAAAAGGGATAATACTGGATTCCCTTTAGGTTATATTTAAGCATATTAAAACCAAATATTTCACATAGGATACTAGAAATGATGTTGAGAGTAATATTATCATACATATTGTGAAATCTTTTAGTTATCAAGTTAATTTTCCATTTGTGAAATGATCTTTTTTGGTCTTTCTCTCTCTGTCTCTTACACACACCAAAAAAAAAAAGTTGGGGTTAATTTTCCACTACTGAATTAATCTTTTTCTTTCCTTTCTCTCTCTCTCTCATACATACACACATGCACACATACACAAAAATGAGTGTATAATACATTCTTTCTATTTATTTACATAAATGAAAAACTTCAAATAGGTTTTTATTCTCATAAACAATATTACATATTATGTCCATATAATATTATTACATATTATGTCCATATAAAATTCCATTTATTGCAGTTTCATCAGTATAACTTTAAAATAAGGCACAAAAAATTTGAAAAAATAAGACTAGAAAATATTTATTTATTACAAAAAAATATTAATTGAAAAATGTGAGAAATATTATTCAGTCTAAGAAAATTTTAATGCTATGACTCCCAGTCTAAGTGATTAAAAAAAGAGCTTACAAAAAATTATGAAAAATACATTATTCACATGAGACCAAAACAACAGACTGTATGAACAGTAAAAATATAACTAAAATATATAAATCAAAACTTGCATGTATATATTTTGAATCAATGATTTTATTCATTCTAAATAAACTGAATGAGTAATGTAATCATTTTAAATTCTTACAACTTTGTAGGGTGATCAGTTTTCTACACCATTTTCAAAATTAGCACATTTAGTATTTGGCAAAGCACACTACATTAATAATACACTAACAAAAGCACACTACATTAATAATACACTACCAAAAGCACACTACATTAAGAATATATTTTGGTTGAGAAAGCAATTTTATTTTATTAATGAAATTATACAGCCTTTTATGCACATATGGCACAGCATATTATTATTATTATTATTATTATTATTATTATTATTATTATATTCAAACCAGATCGTGGATCTGAAAATATTTAATTGTAGATCAATCTAAACTTTTGGGTCGATATTTCCCACTTTTTAAAATTAAAATTGAATTTATACAGTTAATATTTACATACAGACTACCTTTGTCCCCCTCTTTTCAAACTGTGATTTCAAACTTTAAAGGCATAATGAGGCATAACTTTAAAGTTTGAAATCAGAATACTTCACCTTTTGAAGACTCGTCATAAATGGTTTCTTTATAATAAACACAAATAAGATTTCATTCAAGGCATTTGTTGAAATTTTCCTAGTGTTTAAAATGGGGGGGGGGAAGAAAGCTGAAGGATGCAGCACTTTTTTTTAATAAATCCAAGATTTTAATTCTAGAATTCTCCATAGTTGCTAATAATGCACGTGTGGAACTCAATGACATAGACAAGTAGCATAGACATTCATAGGCAAAAAACTTACTAATGGGATACTAAAATATCATATTTACTTATTTTTGCTTTAATTTTTAAGACCAGAAAAATTATTTTGAAAGTAATATCATCAGTAGATATGCAATTGATGTCAAGAATTTTCATACACTTTTATTAAAGGAATCCTCTGTACTTCAGAAAATTTCCTTAACATTTATCCCTTTTTCTCTGCTATGTTTTCACTTTGCACTCGCATTAATTTTGTTTTAGGTATGAACTGTATCACTGCAGTTTCGTGAATTAATCCTTTCCCCCCCACACACACACTTTATGTTTCCCACTCATTTAAAAATGAATTATTTTATTCATGAATTTTCTTGAAAAAACTGGGTCACTCATTTTGTGACTACTGACATCCCTTACTGAAACTAAAAGGAACATTACAAACTTTTCAGGTTCTATGTTTTCTTCAGCATAAGCAACAGAATTGTTTTTCTTTACCAAAAATGAAACCTCAAATT